GAGACAGAGTGGCACTCTTGCCCAGGCTGGAGTGCAGTGATGCAATTTCAACTCACTGCAACTTCCACCTCCCGGGTTCAAGCAATTCTCCTGCCTCAGCCTGCTGAGTAACTGGGATTACAGGCACCTGCCACCACACTCAGCTAATTTTTTGTATTTTTAGAGAGATGGTTTCGCCACATTGGCCAGGCTAGTCTTGAACTCCTGGCCTCAGATGATCTGCCCACCTCAGCCTCCCAAGGTGCTGGGATTACAGGCGTGACCCACTGTGCCCAGCCAAAACTGTCTTTATTGGGCCATATGTCAAAACAGCGTGCATTTTGCAATAGTATTCTTAGGAGACATTCCTGATATCTTGGTGTTCTTACCATTTGATGAGAAAAAAGTAAAACAGGAAGATCTTTTTGTCTCCAGGCATCCTTAAAATTTACTTTTGGCTGGGCGCAGTGGCTCACACCTGTAATCCCAGCACTTTGGGAGGCTGAGGCAGGTGGATCATGAGGTCAGGAGATCGAGACCATCCTGGACAACATGGTGAAACCCCGTTTCTACCAAAAATACAAAAATTAACCGGGAGTGGTGGCGTACGCCTATAGTCCCAGCTACTCGGGAGGCTGAGGTGGGAGAGTTGCTAGAACCCGAGAGGCAGAGGTTGCAGTGAGCCAAGATCGAACCACTGTACTCCAGCCTGGGCAGCAGAGTGAGACTTATCTCAAAGGAAAACAAAAATTATTTTTAAGCATTTATCTCAAGGCACTGTAAATACTAGCACATTGTAACCAAAGTAGCCACTTTAGACATGGCAAAGACAGGAACAAAATACCAGGCATGAGATCAGTCCTCTCATTCCAAATGCTTGGCTTCTCTTATTAGTGTAAATGGTTAGAGGTAATTTATTCCTGCTGCTTCCCCCAACCACCAGAGAATTTCCTCTCATCCTTTGAGTAAGTGCTGTGGTGGACAGAATTTTTTAAATGACGCCCTTTAGAATGTCCTACCCTAATCCCCAGAATCTGAATTGGATATCCCTCCCCTAGTTATATTATGTGGCACTGTTGACTTTAAGAAAGATTATCGGGGGGCAGGGGGGGGCGGTTCTTATCTAGTCACGTGAGCCCTGAAAAGCACCTTCTAAGGCACCCTTGCTGGCATTGAATATAGAGAGGACCATATGCAAGGACCAGAAAGTAACATCTAAGAGCTGAGAGTGACCCCCTTGCCAACAAGAAAATGGGGATCTCATTCCTACAACTGCAAGGAACTGAATTCTGCCAACAACCTGAATGTGTTTGGAAGTAGATCCTTCCCCAGAACCTTCAGATAAGAATCCAGCCCAAACAACTTTGGCTTTCTGAGACCCTAAGCAAAAAATCCAGTCAAGCCCACTGGATTTTTGACCTACCGAACAGTAGGGTAATGAATGTTTTAAACCACTAAGTTTGTTGTTATCTAGTAATAAAAAGCTAATACAAGTGCAATATTCCAATCTGCAGTAGAAGGAATGAAGTTTCATCTGGATCTTTTGAGTTCATCTGGATCAATTGAGTTGAATCTCCAAAAATTGATTTATCGTTCTGATTCCTGCTGTTATGTTGCAGATAGGTAGCATTTTGCCTACTACTGGGTTCATTTTACCCCACTGCTTATTTTCTGAGTTTATGGGTAGGCTGTTTGGTTGGCTCAGCTCTGTCCCCAGGATAGATATTTTTAACCATAGTGGAGTATAGTCTTCCAGGAACTGCGTGGCTGCTTTTACAGAAATGAACTCTACATATCTTGCCGGGGGGATGGTTGGAGTGTATGTGTGTGTCAGGATGGTATCTGAGCCCAAACAGACTTGCGGCCCCTCTGTATCCTTATGGCTTTTCCACTTCCATCTCCCAACATCTGGAGCAGGGACTTCAAGTTTCCAAAACATAGCAGCAAAGGGTAGCAAACAGCTAGCCCATAGCTCCCTTAGCAACAGGAGAGTAGTCAATAGGGATTTAAGATAGAAAATGTAGCTCAGGGAAAATGTGTGCAGTACAAAACACAGACCCATAAGTTTTTCAGAAAGCAGCTTGGCCCTGTGAAGTTGACCAAACTGAAAGTCCCAGAATCCTGGATTCAAGTCACTCATGAATGGCTTTTGGTTAATTCTTCCTGTGCATCAATTCCTTCTCTTGTGTGAAATGGGTAACACCTTATCTGCCTCCCTGAGATGGCATGGAAATAAGCAAAATTAGGTCTTAAAACTACTTGGGAACCCACATTGTGAAAATTATCTTTATCTCTGTTGTTTCTTAGTTACCAGTTTACCAGAAGTAACTTAACACTAGGGTTCTCTGCCAGCACTAAAATTAGACCCTTCCACTCTGGGCTTTCCTTTTCCCTCTCTTGCTTTTGTTTTCAGGGTGTGTGTGGGGGGAACATCTGTGCTGCTGGAGTTAATAATAAACTGAAGACTAAAGAACAACTTCTCCCACTAGAAAATACTATTTTCATCCTACCCACCTGACCATCCTTTAAAAGAAGGAGCCCAAATCTGCCCTGAATTTTGATTATTTGATTCACTTTTGGAAATGTGCCTGAGAAAGCCTAGGGAATGAGAGAGTGGAATAAATGGAATGTAGGGAAACTAAGCTCCTAATATTTCCAACCTCCCTTTCCTGGCCAGATAGGCTTTCTGCCACTAAAATCGAGGTTCTCTGTCACATCACAAAAGGGCCTGGAGTTACTCTTAAGTATGCTGACATCTCTGGAGGTGGGTGGTTTGGGTACTGGGCACTTTTCCTGCCCAGGGACATGGGAAAACCAAATAGGCAAGGGGGGAATCAATCTTTTCCAGCTGCAACCTAGAGAGAAAAGGAACAAATTCTTCACCAGGGAAGATTGTGTAAACAGCGCCTTTGGCTGGAGCCATAGGGTTGGGGAAGCAAAGAAAGGGATCTTTGTTCTCTCCTACCCCAGCCAGAGCACAATCGTAGAGCTGGGATTGTTTGCTTTGGCAAAAGACTCCCTGCCTGAAAGGGCTAGGCGTTCCAGAGACTGGTGAGGCCTCTGTTGGGTTTCCCTTATGGAGCTGAAGAGAGGACAACTCCCAGCCTAAATCTTTTACCTAAGGAAGTGAGCTGGGGATTCAGGGGGCCTGAGGCATCTGGCTTATACCTCTCTACCTTGGTTTGCCTCCTTCTCTTCCTACATTCACCTTATTACAGTTGTTAGTTTAATTGGCCTCAGTCTTCCTGCCTTTAAGGGTGCTTTTGGTTCTTGTACCAGTGTTCTACCGAAGAAACTACATTT